CATTAGGAAAAGGTTATAAATGTTGCTTGATCTGGGCCATGTTGCAGCAATGCCTACTGCTGCTCTGCATGCTCCTGGTTTTGAGAAACTGCACACAAGGACATATAGCCATTTCTTTTGTTACTGACAAAATAAATGTATAATTCATCTTATTTACCCATCAGACAGGTCCCTCTGAAGTCACATGTGAGGATCAGAAAGGTTCCAGTATCTCCAAGTGTCTTTTAAAGTGACATTGTTCAATGTTCCGCAGGCTGGGAGATTGTTTAGATTGTTAAAGCAGTATCTAATTTATGTTTTTAAAAAGCACCAAGAGCCAGGCACTTCCCTGCTCCCTCAAAGGCCATTTAGCTAAAACAAGGTAGAGTGATTTGTCTTGCCTCAATTTAGCTGTAATGAGTATTAAGTGGTTTATCTATGTGGCGAAAAGTTACTCAGCTAGATTACATCACAGCTGAATTACACCCGATTCCAGATGGAGTATATTTTTTAAGACAGTAAATCTTCAGGAAGATGGGTAATAACAGTAATGCTCCTTCACGAGTTGGAATGCAGCTCTTTTACCTCTCACGGAGATAATGCTAGGAACTACATCCAATTAGTTTTTCAAAGGCTTTATAAAGAAACAAGGCTTCAGATTTTACAGCTCTGCAAACAATTTAGCTTGAAGCATTTAAATCGTACAAGTGAGCGATGGCGATTGCAGTCACTGCTTCGGTTTTCGCTGGCCGTGCTGTTACCCTGGGCTTGTTACCACTGCTTGCGTTGCCGTTGGGCACCTGTGCGGAGGCAGCGTGGGGGCTCCTGAGCCCCTGAGCATGTGCTCGCCGCGGGACAGGTGCTCAGGGCGTCCCTGCTTCGTCCCAGCCAAGCACAAGCATTTTCTTGCACTTTAACCCCAAAAGGAAGCAGCTCTGTGGATGGAGACTGCTGGGTTGTGGTAGCTGCTTGGAAAGAATTTTTGTTGCTGGAAGATGCTCCAAGTGTGATGACGGGCTAGCACCGAGTTAGATGTGTGTAACAGGAAGGGTGGGAGGTGCAACTTTTTGAGGGGAAATTCCTTCCATCTGGTGCCATCTGGCCCTCCAAGGCAAATGTTGCTCATGCAGTGGCTACCTGAGGCTCCTAGGAAGGCGAAGGAAGGTGAAGGTGAAGGAACAGCTCCAAGAGCATGTCTCTCTGAGGGTCATCCTGGCAGGGGCTGACTCCTGCCTGGCCAAATACCTGCTGAAAAGCTCATCCCTCTGTGTCCTTAGCCATTCTCCCTGTCTGCTTCTGTGGTACTGTCCCCTTCTTCATCATGCTGCACTTCCACCGAGCCCACCAACTCAGGTGTCTGCCAGAGCAGAATGGGTTGAGAGCCCTGGCAATACCTACGTGCGGGCACGTGGGTTTGGAGTCCGGGCCACGTTGCTGTATTAGCCTAGGGCATGCTGCTGCCGTGCCCTAATGCTCAGGATCTGGAGAGGCTCTCACACCACAGAGGAGAATGTGGTTTTGGACTGAAGGTTAAGCATTCCTCATGACTGAAGGCAGACTCTGATAAGGTGATGGGAATCATTTGTTTAATTTCTAATGAATGCAATGAGGGGGTCTGAGCCATCCACATTCCTGCCCAGCACCGTCTCCTGGGTGGGTCACCCGGGCACTTCTGCCAGCCGTGGCTTTGGGGGAGGTAGGGGAGGAGGGAAATTCACTGATAAGAAGAAGGTCAGAGGCAGAAAAATGTTGGGAATGTGTTTCTTGATCTAATGTGGGGGAGCCAGAGCCCAGGGCTTTGCTGTTCAGTCCTGGAGTGTTACTGCCTGCTGTCAAGAGAGTTATGGGATCTTTTAAACCTGAGATCAAGATGCAAGCTGCTCCTCTGACACCTACCTCCACGCAGGCAGCTCCAGAAGATGGTGATGATTCTTCTCTGAGGGCGTAGTGAGGACGCTGACAGCTTTGAATGGTGTTTCTCAGGCTTTGCCTGAGATGGAGCACTTCCAGCTGACAAAAATTGCTTGCTTTCTTTTATATATTGCTAGGGGTGTTTTCTGTCTGAGGACAGATGTGGGGTGTGGTTTGGTCTTGAATGGTGGTATTTGTAGAACTCCATCAAATCTCCGAAAAGGCTTTGGGTCGGAGTAGTCCGTGGTGGCCCTGGCTCCAGAGATTGCCCGCACTTACACAGGGGAAAAAAACAAAGCGAGGAAATAATTCTCTCCTTTCTTTCTTTCTTGGGGTGCCCAGGCTCTCTATTCTGGCCGTCAGCAAGTCATTCCTTACAGCATCCAGGGCCTGGAGACAACTATGGTAGTTCCTAAACTGACGGAGGGCTCCTCATTCAGTTGAGAGCTTGGAGCTCTGTGTGGAGCAGAGGTCCTGCCACTGGGAAAAGAGGCAAAACGTCCATTAACACTGTGGTTGTCCTGGAGCCTATGAGTGACTTGGCAACACATGCAGACATTCTTTAGCTTTATCTCATGTTCCTTACGTTTGTTCTTGTGAGTGTGGCTGTCTGTGTAATTACTGCATGCACAGACTGTCTTCAATCCAGCTGCCTATCTCTGATTTCCAGGGAGGCGTGGATAAAACCTGCCCTTTGATGGCTATTTGAATACTTCATTGAAGCTGCTCTGAATGCCCTGAAACTTCTAGATAAAACCCAGGAACTGGTCTGGAATCAAGTCTGAATCACTTGATGTGTTGTTTAGAGGCTCTTCTTTCCGTGCTGCCTTGGGAAGATGCAGTTTCCCTGGGCAGCTCCCAGGCACGTGAGGGACACCTTATGGAACCAGCTCTGCAGGTAGAGACACTTTCCATAGCAGGGCAGTGGAAAAGATGGAGTTGCTGGATGTCCTCAGACTGATCTGGAGACGCTTCCGGGAGCTATATTTAGCCAAATGGATATTGCTGAACTGAATTTAGGGGTAAGTCAATAAATGCAGTGGCCTGGGATGCAGAAGAAGTCAGACTAATGATCCATGGTCCTCTTGACTTTGCCTTTAAGACTCTCAAATTTCCTTATTACCATGATGGAGGAGAGATTCATTATTAATTCAGCAAGTTTTTTAAGCTGACGCTGAAATCTTGCTGACTTAAGCATAGATCTTGTGTAGCATTTTACTCTACACATTTTTATATGCACGACTAGATCCATGACGTTGTTTGTATGAGACGTTAGCCAGGAAGGTGCTATGGATTGACGATATTAACCTCCTCCTTTTGCCTTCTTTTCCTCTGATCCAGAGACTCCTCCTGTGTTTGAGTTGGACGGATAGAGTTTGTGATCTCTGCAGCTGGGGGTGATATTGTTGTGAACCGTATGACCACTTAAACTGTTCACTGAACTTACATAGTTTCCTACAGCGTCTTCTTATCCTTCCTTATGAGGATTTATTTGGATTTACTGGTTTTGCACAAAGCACAATCAAAACAAAAATAGTGAGCATGTTTTCCTTGAGAATGTTTGTCCTTTAGATGGGCACTTGACTCTAATCTGTCCTGCTGTTCCTTTATGTGCCGCTTGGCACTTGTCTGTGGTAACCCCTTTTTTCGGGCATATTCCAATTTTTCTCTTGAATGGTCAAAGCACTAAGTTGTTAGCTGTAGAGTGCATGGTAGCTCTTCTGCAAAACTGCCCAAAGAATCTCCAAGAAGCAGAATTCAGGTTGTGCTAAGGGTGTCTGGCAGGTGCTGGCAAAGGCAATGATAAGCTGTTTAGCACAGTGCCAGCCTAAACCTTCCAAGTAATGCATATATGCATATGTGCATGTGTTTGTGTGTGTGAAAATTTAGCTAATGTTGCCTGCTAACCATAAGGAGCTGATCCTGAATGGTGCTGGGTGTCAGCAATGCATACCAGCATGAACGCAGTTGCATAATTCTTGATTTCTTTCTGATTCATGCTCAGCATGAAGTTCTGTGGCTGAATAATGGCTTTGCAGCCACTCAATAATAAATAAAATGAAGTAAAATATAACTCCATTATACAGAGCACTTTTAGCAGTGCAGAAATTGCTCAGTTTTTCATGTGCTTAAACTGCAAAGCTTCCTCTTCTCCCCCTCCTGAAACAATTCACAGCGTCCACTACCAAAATTACAAGTGTAAAAGATATTTTACAAACATATTGATGGATGGATGGAGCTATTGCAAATTGTTAAACTATGATGAAGATGGTTAAAAGGTTTTCCTGGATTCCTTTAACTTCTTCCTTGTGAAATTTGCAAATGTGTTGCTTCAAAGCACATTTCAAAATGAAAACCAGATGTTTTGGACAGTGATGAGCCACCCACAGAGCTCTCTGGCAAGGTATCTTCTACACCATATCACCCTATCTGGTGCTGCTATCTTATTGTAACGGTAAACTGGCCATTAAATTTCTTCAAGTGGATATTACCATTTTATATGAGGTTAGACTGTACTTTATTTCCCCAGTATTTTGCTGTCTGGTGTCACATGCTTCCTTGAGGAGAAAAAAAAAAGCAGATCTCAGCGATGGGTCTCTCATGTGTATGCTTTACCTTTGTGGTCTGTCTGTGTATTTCATGTCCTTTTTTGTGGTGTTGGGAATTCTGACAGTGACCTATTTGTAGAACCACAGAAAAAATATTTGTCCAATTTGTCAATTGGATTTAAAAGAAAGGGGGAGAAGGTAGTTTATTTGAACCTAAAATGAAACATCTTCTGTTGTTAAATATTTTGGGGGCATTTTAGATGAATATGAATGTCTTTTGAAACCCAGAAACTACTTACTTTTTTTTTAAAGGAACAGAACATTTCAACTTCACTGCGTTTTCTCTTCCCCCCACACCTGACCAAGTAGGGCTGGTAGCTGCTGGTACTGCTGCTGCTGAATCTTAGCTCCTGAATGAAAAATCCCCTCCCCACCCTTTAAACTTGAATTTGTAGCTCTTTCCCAACCTCCCCTTCCAGAGTGGGAAAATGTATCACTGTCTGACAGTACTAATCTATAAAACATGATGCTTGAACTTTTTTTTTTCCTCTTTTCCTAAAGATTCATCTTCCAACTACATCAGGCAACTTGAAACAAAAGTGAAACTGCTGGAGGATGACAACAAGCTTCTCTCTCAGGTAGTTTTTATTTTTTTTTTGCCTAACTGATATGAATGTGAGCTTAGGCTCTGTTCTCCTGTTTTCACATAGTTGTGTGCACCTTCCTCCTTGAATTCACTAGGGCTTTCAGTGGGTGAGAGCACAGTGGTCCCTCATGTCAAATGCCACTGATAGAATTAGGCTTTGCTTTCTTATACACCTCTTAGAGTAATGCTACCTCAAAATTGCATGTAGAGAAAAAATGGGTTATGGTTCATGTTCACATGTGTTTAGGAGTGAGGCAGTGATGGAAATGCACATGGATGTGCACAAAGGATGGGTGCTGCTCTTGCTGGAGGGATGAGCCAAAAAACGCCAGCTCCTGGGGACAGGAACTGGAGGGAGGAGGATGTGTGTCTGCAGAAGCAGATTTGTGGAGGAGAGCGAGCGCGTGTGGTGTGTGGACCTGTGGGTCCATGCACAACTCCTTGGTGAGCAACTGCTCTTGCTCATGATGGTGGCACGGTCCGACGCTGCCTGTGTCCTTGCTCTAGGATTTTGTCTTCCTTGCCCATTTGCATTTTCTTTTATGTCATTGAATGACAGGTCTGTAGTGAAGGGACAGCCTTGGGAGTAGTTTTGTGCAGTGCTGGCTTCTAGATTTTATTTGTGATCTTGCTTAAAACAGAACAGACCTCTTTAAAACTGGCACTTTGTGCTTGCATCTGTCCTTCAAAGTCTACTCTATGTGCCACTGGGCTTTTGATCATTTGTTCTGCTTACCTATCTATATACAGGAATGTCAAGTGGTAGGGAGGAAAACAACCGTCCTGCCTAGTATGTCCCCAGGATCCTAAGTAAAACATAGCACTTGCTGTAAACAGGGGCAGCTTTGCAGAAATCAATGAAACTCTGTCCATTTAAACCATCAGAAGAGTTGTTCTCTGCATCCTTTCACTATTACACTGTTCTTCCTCCATGGCATTTTCAAGTTTTTCTGAACTTTGCTTCTTGCTTCAAGCACCAAGTTTCAGAATTACTTTATTGCAAGTTCTTTCCATTTATAAGGAATGAGAGTAAAACAATTCCTATTTTTTTAAAATTATAATTTGCCAAAATTTAATCATTTGCTGTTCTTTTTATTTCACTGAGTCTGAAACTAGAGTTGTCCATCTTGTTTCTTCTATTTTATTTCTACCAAAATTTAATCATTTGCTGTTCTTTTCATTTCACTGAGTCTGAAGCTAGAGTTGTCCAGTATCACTTCTTGTTTCTTCTATTTTATTTCTGAAACATTTCTTTTAAAAACAAAATTGAAGAAGGCAATATGTTTCCTGGACTTTCCACAAAATAACCTTATTTTTAGTGAGCTCTATGTTCTGACCAGACTGTGAGCTTCTTAAAAATTACCCCAAATTTTGAGTGTGCCATTGACCTTACTAGTCCTAAAAATGCACCTCATAGAAAACCAAAGAGTTAAACACCCCCCAAAAGGCGCTCAGCCCAACAGCTACCAAGTGGCTTCAAGTATTAATCAATCCCTAATTTAATTTTAATCTCCCTCTTTTTCTCCCAGCCCATAAATTCGCTGGTGGCAGTTTAAACCTCGAGACGAATTCATTGGAAATATTGATAAACAGATGGGCTCTGCGGCGCAGGGCGGCTGGTTGCTAGGAGACACGCAGGGATTCGGGAGGCGCTCCCTGCTCCATATGCCCTTGGCCTCGCTTCGCCCTGCCGCTCGCGAGGCTGCGGAGCCCCGGGTGCTTTGCTCGCTTGGGCCTTCCCCTAGTGAGCTCAAAGGACCCATCCGTGATCCGGAGGTGAGGGGTGGGCAGGCTAAGAGGAGGCCCAGGCACATCGCAGTCCCGTGCGTGAGGCCTTGGTGTGCGTAGGCCTCGTGCGGGGCTGCAGCCAAGCGCTCTGTCCTTCCTTCTCATGTGTCTGAGTTAGTGAAATACAAGGGAAAACCCCGGCCCCAGTCACTTGCTGGCTGGTGAAGGCTGGGAAGTGAAGCTCTTAGCTGGAGACTTTGCTGGCTGCGGGTGGAGGAAAGGGAGCTGTTCATGATGTAGTCACTCTGCCACCATGCAGAGGCTGCCCTACATCGCCGGCTCAGGGTTTGGGCTCCTCGGTGCTGAAGCAGCCCTGCCTGTCGGACCTTCTGCTGCTGGGGAGGAAGGCCATACATTTTCCTCACAGATTGTCTTCAGTTATCTCCAGCTTTTAGGCTGTGTTACTACAGAAGTTCACATGTAGGAAAGAGGGAAGCGATCCTAAAATCCTCTGTGCTCTGGAGGGGGTCAGCAACCTCCTTAGCAGCACGAGCCACTGACTCCAGGCAGACTCCAACATTCTGTGCACTGTCTCTATGTGATGTCTTAACAGCTCTCCAAAAATACTAGGATCCAACCTATTTTAGGCTGCACTCATGAAATCCTTCTTTCTTACCGGAGGCACTTACCTCTCCTTAGGGTACTACAAGAAAGGTTGAACCTCCTGCTCTCTGCGTGCTGGAAATGCCGACTTGCATCTTTTCCAGATCTCTAATCCCACAAACTTACTTTTTTTAATGTTTCTCTCTTAATGCTCAGTAAGAAACTCACAGCTTCTCACCCCATTTCCTACCAGCGTCTACAAATTATAGCAAAAGGAGAATGAAAGATGAAGAAAATCTTTATCTGAACAGACACCAATGCCTGTGTACACATTTTTCCTAGTATTTTCCTGAAAAAGTATAATCTGCTTACTGGATTCTTTCTTGCTTCATTTGGTTGGAAAGCTCTTACCGTGTGTACGTCTGGATGAGATACTAGTCAAAAAGGATCCTGGCAAACTTTCTGTTGTTTTAAAGTTTGCAGGTAATCCTGGCAGTGCATGCTCCACAATGCCAAACTTGCTTGTCAACACCAAAGTCACATTTTAACTCAGCTTGGCTTTCTCCCTGGGAGTATTGACATTGCAATAATATTTGCAGCCTGGTGTCAAGAAGTTCTATCACCACTGTGCTGAGGAGTGATGAAACCTGACGTCCTAAGTAACAAACAGTGCCTGTGCATTAAGGGATTAACAAATCAGTAGTGGTTATGGAAGTCTTCCTGGCTGCTTTCCAAGCGTTAAACATAGAGCTGAAATAGCGCTTCATCCAGGGAAACCTGAGAAGGCTGGTGCTGCAAACGATATTGCAAGCTTTGTAGGAGGATTTATATTACAGTGGACAGGGACACAAAGCCTCCTTGCTGGCTGGTGCATCCTGAGCAAGATTTGTTCCTTTATCTTCATGTCTGGGATGTGAGGCTACGCTGAGGCATAATGAGTGCCCTTGTGTCACCTTCAGACACAAGTTAGTGCAAGGCTCTAAATGTGCCCCTCTAAATGTGCATCCTGACATCTCCTTTTCCCTCGAGCACGGGGAAACAAAGGCTCGCTGGGATAGGCAAGAGCGTGCCAGCCATGCTGGGGCTACCAGCAGGGCGAGTGTGCCGTGATTCACGCTCCTCTTTTCCTGGTGACTCATTTGAGCAGATTAATGGAGAGAGATTTTCCTTCTGGGATCAAGAGCTGCCATCCCATGAGCCACACTTTAGAGAGGGATGAAATCAAATGGAGAAATGGATGTTATTTGTGCTAGCCGCATATGGATTTTTTGGTTTTACTCTCTTTTCCTTTTTAGGGTCATTTCTTTCCTTCCATGCATCCACCCTGGCATAGTCTCCACTCACCGGAATTAGCATCTTTTTCTGCAACATTAGATTTGGAGATGTTGTAAGGCAAGCAATATATAAGAAAGTATGTATTTCCAGTTGGGAAGTGAGCTCCTTTGTTTTTTCCTAACCTGTCAATAATCCCTGCTGTTTGCATCCTCTCTTTGGAGGAGAAGCTACTCAATTTTATACCTTCCTTTGACTCAGGTTTGCACTCTGGTGTTTTGCTGGCATGGCAGTGTTGTCTAGAAAGTCATGCTCTTGGATGACATCGCTGTGCTGGCAAAATCCCTGGTAGCAATTCTGACAAAACACAGCTTTTGTTACCCTAGTTCATATTGTTTTAGAGCGATGCTGTAAGCAATTGCTGCTATCAGATAATGTCCTTCAGTGCATGCATATGTGTGCTAGTAGGCTGCTGTGGCGTAACCACATTGGGCAAAGACTACACAGTGCAGGGGGGGACTGCAGTGTCCTGGGGCTGACTGTGTCGGCCTCTCACATGTGTAATTGGCCTCAGTCCTCTTAAGAGCCCCCAAGCAAGTAAGCGGGAGGCATGTGCTGAGTTTCTGAGGGGTGTCAGTAACCTGAATTCTCGCCACCTCTCAATAGCTGGCTGATTTTTACATGGCAAGGTGGAAATCTTTTGTTTGCTTCCAAATTCCTGCTACAGGAGAGGTGAAATCCAAATATGTTCTGGTGTGTAGGCTTAGTTGACAACTTTATTTTCCAAATTTTAATTGAGGTGTAAAGAACCCTAACGTAACCTCTAAGGAATGCTGGGTGTTGGCTTTGGAGGGCTTTGCAGGCATCACTTATAGTCTTAAGTTCTCTGGGGAACAAGTACACTAAATTATACTGTGTGCATTGATTTAATCCACCCCACATCATGTGGAAGAGACGATCTTTTTTTTCTCTATACCATTGTGGGAAATGCACTGGGAACTTGGTTAACCTTTTCTTTTGCAATGAGATAACCAGACAGGGGGACTGTCTATATTATTGGGGTATAACACCTGAGATGAGAGACTGCATTTGCTTTCTCTTCCTCTGAGCTGAAAGTATCTGAGTAAAAAGCAGACCCTTTAAGCCATCTCACGCTGCCTCTTTAACTATAAATGGACATGTAATAACATCTCTTTCTCTCAAGATTAGAGAAACCCTGAGTTTCAAAAGTCAATTCTGGTTAGTTTTATTACTAATGCATACATTTTAGACATTATCATAGTGACCAACTTTTGGTCATTGTTCACAGTATTTTACATTTTCCAATCTTTATGCCTAATGGCAATCAATAGACACGTTTTTAAAAAGCTGAGGTTTAGAGTTTTCATAGACTCATCACCTTGTTCTCACTTCTTCTGTTAAAGTGCTAGCTATCATAGACTGACTGTCAAGGCTTCTTTTGATTTGAAGTCTCTGCTAAGCCTAATCTATTTTTTCCCTTCAGAACAGATACACCAGAGGATTTCTGCTGCTTGGGGATGCTCAGAGCACGTAGCAAACCTGTGCCTCAAAAAGTGCAGATTTGAGCACGGCAGATGTGTCAAACAGGCAGCGAGACTCTGAGATAACAGGAAGTTTGACAATGAAATAGCGATGTATCTTTTAGGGAATTTTTCAGGGCCCCTTGTGGAGAGCTGAAGGATGTAGAATTCTTCTCTAGGGAAGGGACAGCCCTTGGGAGGTATCAGGAACATTTGAGTATTTAATTAAATCACCAAATATATTTCAGAGTTACTAGCACTTCACAGCACTTCAGCATCTGCCTGCTAGGCAATTGGGATTTTGAGTATCCCTGGAAGATCTTTTCCTTAAAAACCAAAAAAACAAGCAAAAAACTTGGAAACAGTGCTTCTTCTTATTGGCATGCAAAGTCAGAATTAAAAGCCCTTGCAGTAAAGCCAAAGCTGTACAAATATAAGAATGATAGGAAATAATACTTGTAAAAGCTGCTATTAGGACAGAGCTGAGGTTTTTTGGTGGGGAGCTTCCCCATGGTTTTCTGGTGAGGTGATCTACAGACCCATAAGTCTTCTTATTCTAACATACTTTTGGCAGGTACTCAGCAGGCATTTGGTAGCATATTGTTCTAAAAATGACAAAAAAAATGGACACCTGGATTTAAGAGTGCCTGCTAATCTTCAGTGCTGTGATAGACAAAGATGTAAATGCAATTTAGCAAGGAGTTTGATCTTTCCTGAAAAAAAAGGAGGCTGGGGGAGAAAAATAATTGCACACAACGGGCTGCCTGGCTGCAAGACAGTTGCAGGGCAATTTCTTCTATTATTTTAATAATAGTCACTTTTGTGCCAAGTCAGCCATTAGCAGTTCCTGCTTGGCATTTGCCTCTCGGCTCTCAGCGTTGATATCAGCTCTTAGCTTTTGGGCCTTTGAACTGCCGCTCGGTAGTTTTGTTGTGAGGCCATTACTGAGCCAAGAGTGTTGCACGTGTACACCACGAGTGGAACAAAATTACAAACCTGTCTTATTTCCCCAAAGTCTACCTATTGTTTGAGTGTGAGGAGAATAAATATAATTGCTTTAATTTAAGGTCTAGCGAGGGAAATACAGAGTTTTTTTGTAATAGAGAATGACTTGGGCAAGAAAGGTTTCCAGTGCATTGCATCTCCATTTAAATTCAAAATACCGAAGAGAACATGCCCTAAGCTGCTATATTGTTGTTATGCATCTTTTAAATATGGAGCTGCCCATCAACTTTAATTAAGCAAAAAGAAGACCCACATTTGAGGCCTCAGCAAAAGATTAATTTGAAGTCAGTGAGACTTTCTACAAAATTCTGTGACTTCTGGAGTATTAACTGGTCCTGAACCACATTTTCATGAGAACTCCTCTATTGCAGCCTCTAAAATTCATCTCAGGCTTCTAAGTGCATTGCATTACTTACCTGCATAAATGCAAGAAAATTTGTCAGGATCCCCTCAAATGCAGCTTTCTCAGCTGTTGTAGGGGAAACTTTGTGAAAAGGCAGCATAGAAGAGCAAGCTGCCTGTGGGTGTGTTTCATTTCATCTCCTTCTTTTATGAATTAGAATGACCAGACTGACTGATATGACCAATTAGTTGACTTGAGATGTAAATAAACAATGTGATTTTTAG